TACAGCCCTGGCGTCGTATGCAGCTGGTTCGATGAGGTCGGGAAGACTACGATCATCTACAAGGGTGTTGTCTGGAGTGTCCGGGCCAGGTGTGTGCTCCGCGCGGCGATTAATAGGCACGATGCCGTTAGCGGCCAAGACACTGACATACAGCGCGTATAATTGATCCTCTTGTATCGTAGCTAGGACATGTGACAAGTCTGCGGCAGTGTTGTTCATGATCCGACTAAGAATCAACGAATTAATGGATGAAAGACCGCTGGATGCAGCAGGAGCTTGTGCGCGAGAAGGGTCAGCGTGGTTTGTCATCCCCACAGGGCCGCGAGGCGCGGGGACTGGGGGCTGGACAGAAGGAGGCGGTTGGACAAACGTAAAGGCCTGGACAACGGGGAACTGCTGGAGATGCTGCACGGTTGCCGTCCGCTGTGTTGCTGTGAATATGTGATGCGTGAGGTTTGTCGCAGCCTGGATCGCCTCCGGCTCGGGCATAGCCTCCCACACCACATTCCTCCAACGACCAAACAGCTCGCCATCTCGATGACCAGGGAGTACCGTCCGGGGACCACCCAAGAGCTGAGTGAGCCAGTTAAAGTCTCGTGGAAACATCAGCGGTAGGTCGATATTGGCGACAGCAGCCTTGACACAGCGGGTCAGATCGAGCTCGTCGTCGCCGGATGGGTATACCCTAACGTCAGCTGCCAGGGACGCGAAATGAACATTAGCGACGACCGGTTTATGGTGACGGCTACCCGGGACTTGGATCTCGCAGTGGTTTTGGACGCCGGCAAGAGTCAAGTTATCGTGGTCCCAAGCCTGGCCGACTTTTGGGTAAAGACCGGCCTTGTGGCGAGTCATAGTCCATTGATCGTCCTGAAGATAGTGTCGCATCGTACCCTGGGCCAAGTGAATCACGGCATTGGTGGCGTCTTGCCGAGAATTGTTCTTCACCACGACTCGAAACCATTTGTGGATCCTAACGATGGGGTAGGCATCGCCACCGTTCTGGACGAATCGAACAAGAACGCCGGGGCTACGAATCAGCGCGGGAAGAAATGTCATCAGTTCCGCACCGGTGATGTTGCCGGTTTGTGGGATGCGGAGATACCGGGTAACAGCGTTTGGACCGAAGATGTCAGTTGGGGAGGCGTGGATCGAGCCGTCCTTGTTCTTCGAACGTGCTTTGCTCATGGCGGCTGGTTTCTCAACCCTAGCCCCTTTGACCGGAGATGAGTTGGCTGAAGGAGTCTTCGGATTGCTCGCCATTGTGCCTTTGATACAAGGATTAGCGTTTGGTAAAGGAAACGTTGTAGCAATCGGATGGAGGTTTGAGCGGTGCTTGAATTGCTTGCACTGCTAAGTATGGAACTTACTGGACGAGAGTCTGCAACTCGGTTAATATAGAGTAAGACGGGAAATTCGACGAAGTCAGGTGTATAGAAGGTGTTGATTGATGCGAGCCTCGTCAACGATATACTGTTACAACGCTTTAGCAGCCGCGGAAGAAGAAACCTTTGTTTACGGCTTTAGCAGATGCATGGAGAGGCGCTTCGGCTCAAAGCTAGAGCAAGATGCAATCCAATTATCGCTTGAATAATGTGCTAGCGCTTCGGACATGAGGGTCTGCAAAATGTGAGCACGAAAGGCCGCATTGACGAAGCTGAACCAATCTGAACCCCACGATCAAGGATCTTGAAGGTGAGGTTGAAACAATCCCCGCGTTCGCCAATCCAGGAGTGACCACGTGAAGGGCGAGAACGGCCCATTTAGCCAACTTCGGAAGGCAGGTGACTCAGTTTTGCCTGCGTTACTCTGCAAACATTCGTCCAGGGCGATATTGGGGGTTACTATTGCCGATAAATCCATCAAGTGACGTCAAAGAGACTGGACCTTTGCTCCGAGAGCAATGGCGACATCAATATCGATTGGCAGGTGATGATAAGGACAGATCGAGTACCTGAACGTCTCTTCGGCCTCTTGTCCTCGATATTGAGCATCGCTGATACATCCATACCTGGCGGAGGCTGGTCGCGGACGCACTAGGTTGGCCAAAGCGACTAGGTACACGACCGAGGACTAGATAGGACGGAAGGTATGTCGACGCATCCATAGTCCTCGACCACGAGGAGCGAGGTCTTGCCGCTGGGCCCTTGTAGTTGCAGGGGCTCGAAGACGATATCGCGTACGTAGGAGGTGGAAAGAGCTCGCGCACTTGACGTACTCATGCGCAGTCCGCTTGCTTTCCTCGTGCTTGCGGTACATATTTCCATACGCATTGTGACAAGCACCGTAGACAGGTCAAGTGATGCCTCACGACAAAATCTTTTTCACAATATTAGCAGTAGTTTGAAGAGATTTGCGCGGCAGTCGGTGGTATCCAATACACTTTACGTCCATGCTCATTCAACTCTTCATTTTTCTTTGAACGCTACCATGGTCTGAGCAGAGGGCTTGGTAAAAGCTTGTAATGGTCGTAATCTTCTTAGTGCATCTGAAGACCTTACACTGAGACTTTGAGGGAACGTCTGTAGTAGGTGCTATGGGGGTGACACCTGGAGGATTGGTGCTAGACACAATGTAAAGGACACGGTGACACTGTCAAAACGCGTGGATCATAGCTTTACGAAACACATAGGTGGTCCTGGATACGCGAATGAGGTCTGTCGGAATACATCGTGGTTGAGCTTCGTGTGTGAATCAGACGCGTTGACGCGTTGAAGCTTGCCGTCGGAGATGGGACGGGACAATTCGCCGATGTGGGGCTACCGCGGCAGCTTGGCGTCACGTGAGCTGTCTCTTATATCCCCTGACATACATGTCGATGCATAAGGAGCTTGCAAGTTCTAAGTAGGATTTTTGTGAATAGGTTCTCAAACGAGCCATAACAAAGATCTTGGAATCTGCGAACGTCTAGATCCTAATCGCGACCTCTCCGCATATGGCTTAGTGTGAGCGGTAGCGAATTCTGCCGCTTGCCCCTGTGCCGAGCGAAGTTGTCCTCATCAACGGTCGACACGACAGGTCGCTGCCAGCACATGTAGCCTGATCGTGCTCAGGTTGAGTTATGATCGCAGCGCCCCTTCAAGCATGAGTATCCACTTCCTTTGCGACGTTGACACTCTGCCTCTACAGCACAGCGAAGCCCATAAACCATGAGGTCACGCATCCACTGTCAACATCGCGCCAACGTCTATTTCTGGCCAACGTACGATGCTGACTATGAGAAGGAAGCAGTCTAGTCGTGCAGTATATAGCCAGGGCTGCTGTATTCATTCTGATATCAGCACTCGCGAAAGAATCAACCCAATTTTATCTGGATAACTCCCCAGGTCTTCGAACCTGATGAATTGACGACATTAGAAAAGAACACAGCTCCTCCGACGTTTCCGCTATAAACTACAACGCCTCCATCCGTCGGCTATGCTAGCTATCACCGTGAAATCAACCAAGGGTATTCGAAAATCATGGGCCGTGTCCCTTCTTCCATCACCTCATCATCCGTCTTTACCACCAGAGTCCGCAACGCCTCCGTGCGCTCGTCAAGATTCACCATGTAATGCGCGACATTCGCTCTGACTGCATGGCCAATCCTACAATCCTCTTCATAGCAGCCGTAATCTCTACATTCTCTCCTCTGACGTCGACGTTCCGCTTTTCTTTTCGACTCTTCTGTTCCGATTTCTTGTTCGGCTTCTTTGTCCTCTTCGTTCTCTTCGTCCGCGAATGCTACGCGCTTGCGACTTGGCTCCACGTCATAGTCGTGGTTGTGTCTAAACAGGCCCAATCGTAATTCCAATGCATCCTCTTCTCTCTGCTTTTCGTATTGACTGGCCGCCGCACCTATTTCCTCGTTTCTTACGGCCTCTTCCCAGAACCTCAGAGTATCTTGAAACCTTTGTTCACTTATATCCGTTTCCTCACTATGTCTTACAGTCACGTCACTCGGAGCGGTAACCGTGATCTGTATATTGGAAGTCTCTTCAGTCGCAGAGACGATCAAACTTCCCTCCTGTGAGCCACGGCTTGGAATGGGGTTCATTGGTAGAGAATGATTCGACGATGATGGCGCTGCTGATGGAACTTTGGCGCCCTGCGATTTGTTGTTCTTGGATGGACGACCGGGGCCTCGCTTCTCAGGCTGTCCTTGGATTTCCGCCGGAGTATCTGCACGCGCTCGTTTTGACGTTTTGGGCTTTTTGGGTACTGATCCTGCCGGCAACCCGTCTTTGCGTGGTCGACCACGTGGGTTCTTTGCCGGGGCCGGTTTGGTACCGGTTTCGATATGTGGTGCTGTCGCTGTACGTGGTGGAGTCATGGTAAGGTGACTTCAATGCGCGCTTGGAAGGAAGGTAGGTGGTAAGGAAAGAGAATGTCGTACTGTCCGATAATGGACATGAAGATAAATAATTTTTCGTTGTGCTAGTATTAGCTTGAGCTGGAACTTTGGTTTGTCTTCGTTCGATGAGTCTGTGGAAGTCGCTGAGGCTGAAGCCCATCCATGGTACGCGTGTTGTGGCACCATGGCCGACACTACACCAACGAGAAGGACCAATGCCGTCCGTCGCAATGCACAGGATGTGATGGAAGCGGCCTTCGAGCTTTCCTCAGCCACCACTTCTCCTGCAGGCGCTTTCATCGCCCCTGTTCCGATTATGCTTGCGCTGGCACTTGCAGTCCAGGTAGCTATAATTTACGTCACAAGCTGCTGCAAACACATCACTAAAGCTTGATAAGTGGTAACATTTTAGGACGATGTATTCTTCTAGCTAACAAAGACATCCAATAGTATGCTTGAAGGATATAACCCGAATATATCTACCCTTGGTACCTGCTTCAATCCTCCTTCGGCGCTAGCGACCGCGAGCCACTCACAATGTCCGTGTTTGAAGGCGAGAAGCCATCATTGAACAAGAGTCACAACCACTACCACACCATGAAATACTGCACAAAGACCGCTGATAAATCTCCAAATCCTCGATTAGACCTATTCGGGCCTGCTATCCTTACAACAGTGTTTCCGGTTCAGCGTCGTTGAACGCGCCGAATGCCGACGGATTGAAGTATTCCCCTATAGCACCATAGTCTAATGGGGCTGCGCTGAAGCCTGGTGGCATGGCATTCAGCCCAGAATCCCACGGCATCAGCGCATTTAGATCGGAGCGAAACCAGCCCTCTGGACCGTAGTAATCGCCGTGCACATCTTCAACCCTTGCATTTACTTCGGGTGCAAAAGGATGGACATATCCTCCTGGGACTTCTGTATTGTTGCAGTAAGAAGCTGGATTTGCATCGTAATGCGGCACTTCCTCGCTCTGAGCCACGCTCGGAAAAACGGCGTTGGTCAGCTGATCGGGCCACTGTAGGTCTCCGTCGAAGCCGTCCCTACCCAGGCCAAGGGTCTGGCCAAGTTCCAGACGAGCGTTCTTCAGATGCTCGTTTCCTGTGTCAGGCTTCTCGTGAGATGCCTCATCTTTTAGGCTATTTATCACGTCTGCATCGCCGGGGCGTTGATGAGCCAGTCCTTTGATGGACTGGACGATGCCTTGTAGGGTTTGTGCTTTGAGAGAGGGCTTACCCTCCTCCGCATCCAGTAAGGCCTGCCATTCTGGCAAGCCGAGAGCATTCAGTGGCGGATAGTTCTCCTCGAACATCACGCGATAATAGTCCGTGAAGGCGCGGAAGCAGTCTTCCTCTTCTGTTGGGAAGACACTTATCGCCGATGGAAGATTCTCCTTGAAGTAATCCATGATAGCTGGTACATCGGCCGCAATGTAGTCTTTCGTATCCATGCCGAAGGATATATGCGCCAGCCGAGTCGCCATGGCTAGCTCGAACTCGTCTGCTGTCGGAGGTGACGAGATGCGCATTTCGCCCCGACTGACCAGCAACTCCATTCCGTAGAAGTTTGTGCGCTGGATGATTTCAGCGATATGGGTGGGATGCGCTCGCCAGTTAACGCGTCTTTGCGCGTCGGACTGGGCGAAGCGAACACAACGAGCTAACTCTGAGTCGATGTGAGGTGGTGGTGCTGGCATCTCCCGGAAGAGTTCGGGCGCTTCTGCACCATTCGGGACTACCCAGTCTAATCGCTGGTTCAGAGTCTCGATGTTCAATATCTCTGGCATTGGGCGATACTCGCGCTCTCGTGGTCGCGGAACCGCAGGTCGATCGGTGAACTGAGCGAGATAGTGCTTGAAGTTCTGTGGATTTCCTGGGTCATAGCCTTCGCTGTAGGCTACACCCCTTTTGATGATGGCGTGATTGTTCCTGTCTATCAGAGAGGGAACTGTGGTCACAATCTTTGGAGCGGGCTGAGATGCAGCAGCAACGATTTGTGGCGGTGGTTGGTGGATACCAAATCCCTCGAATGCATCTTTGTTGACGACGGGGAATTCGATGTCTTTTGGTGGCGGTGATTTGTAGGTACCGAACCCTTTAAATGCGTCTTTCTCGACCGCAGTAGATGCAGCAGCAACGATTTGTGGAGGCGGTTGGTAAGTACCAAATCCATCGAATGCAGCTGTCTTGCCGGTGGGCAGTTTATCATCTTGCGGTTGCGGTGATTTGTAGGTGCCGAGTTCTTTTGAAACATCTTCATCGACGGTGGACAATGCATAATCTTGTGTCATTCCCATCAAGATAGCATCCAAATCTAGAGATTCTGACTCTAGTTTGTCCAGGGCTGGCTCATCGCTCCCCGGTACATGGACTATGCTGGGTGGGTTCAGGTTGTAGTATATAGGAGGCGACAACACCTCGTTGGATACGGGCTCGGAGATGGGTGTTGGTAGTTGTTGAGCTTCAACTGCCTCGAGCGCTGCATTGATCTCTTTCTGGGATTGAGGCGGTTCTGTCGTGTTGAACACATCTTCTACAGGCTCTGAGGGTAGCGACGGTATGGATATGGTGAAGTACTCAGTCTCAAAATCTTGAGCTGGATCATATCGGATCTTGCCATGGACTATCCAAGGCAAAGGCTGTTGGCCATTAAGCTTCCTCAGTTTCTCTGCACCACTCTCTCGAAGGTCGTCATCGGCTTTCCGCTTCAATGACTGTGCAATCTCAAGCTGTGCGTCTTGGGTCGCCTGTTCTGCTTCTGCGGTGGCCGCGTCTCGCTCACTCTGGGCCGCGTCCTTGACAACCTTCTCAGTGGGTGGGACAACGCCCTGTGGGAACTGGAAGTCCTTGAGATTGGGGTGGTAATAGTAATCAGCGTCTTGCGCGCGGAACCGAGGCGTATGCGACGGTCTACACCTGCGTTTACCCCCGGTGTTGGTAATATCCTGCAATAGCTTTGCGGTAGCGGGTGTTGGGTCTATGGGCTTAGACGGCCGCGGCTCGTCTTCCCAGACTTTGAACTTCTTCTTGCTGTCTCCACCTGGTTTCTGAGGAGTCTGCTTCAGAATGTCTGTAATGGGGTTGGGTTGAGATGGTATATAGTCGACAGGGAGGGCGGTGATGTCTTTGCGGAGATGATCTCCGCCTGAGACGAGATCAATGCTTGATGGGTTTGCAGTCGGCGCAATCTGTGATCGCACCTCTTTCAGGTCGGATGGACGGGGGGAACCAGGGCCGTGGACGGGATTGAAGTCGCCAGCAATACGTCGGCGCTTGACTGCGTGGGCTTTCCTCGTGCGCTTATGTATAGTGGTGTCGTCGGGGTGGCGCTGTCCGTGTGTAGTGGTTGTCGGATCGTTCTCATCGTTTGATCGGCCGGCGCCAGGAAGGAAAACAGCTTGTTCTGGCTCAATCGATGTCGAGCGGCGTCTCTTGTTGTGACGCTGAAGTGTAGGTGTAACCAAGGCGGGTATCTGGGTGAGCTGGTCGGCCATCTTGTCGGGGAGGACGGTAATGGCGAGAGTCTGCTGGTACTTGGACAGGACGTTTCTCTTTCAGGAGTGCAGACGGTGGGTGTGTGAGCGCTTGGAATGAGAATTGGCCGCGGGGGTGATAGGTACGGGAGAATAACGTCAGACCCCGTGATATGGCGAAACTAGTCTCAATTATCTGCAGCATTCACTCTGGTTGTCGCCCAAATGCAGTCACGAGGAGCTCCCCTAAACGTATCTGTGGACTGATTCATCCTGAAGTTGAGTGCAACCTGACGGCTACATGCCCCTCTCCAAGCTACTTCCATCACTTCACGCTACACCGTATACTTCAAAAAACTTCAAAAGCATCGGACGCAAGCGTTTTTTCCAAGGCCTCCAAGGCCTCTGAGCTCGCACGATCAGGTCCAGAACACTCACGCGACGCCCTCTCGGTCTCCTAAGCCCGATCCTTTGCCGCCTTATCCCTCCTCTCCCTCTCATAGCCCGCAAAGCGCTCGATATCCTTGGGCCACTGCCCGAAGAAATCCCAATGGTCCTTCGCGTACACGATCGCAAGCGCGAGGTCGCCATCGAGGTCCATAGGCATGACGCGGTTCGCTAGTAAGCCAGTCAGGTACCGGTTCGGGTACTCATCTTTCTTGGGGTCTAGCGGAGACAATGCGTATACCTCGAGGATGTGACGGTAGTTTGCGCTGGGATCTTTGCACAGAAACTCCCTTCGCGCGTCGTCTTGCTCGCGCTTGAGAGCTGCGGCGCTGGCGGCAAGATAGATCTCTCGCTCGCGGGCTTTCTCGGCGTCGTGAGCTTGTTGCGCCCGAACGCGCTGCTCTGCGAGCTTGGCCTGCTGGAGGCGACGGTCTCGGGCGATGTGGTCGGGGCTCATCCGGTTGATAGATGCCGCAATCCCATTGGGTGATGCAACCGGTCTCATACGATTGTATGGCCCTGGGTTGAGAGGATCATGTTGACCGATGGGAGCGAACGGCGCAGCTGGAGGTGACATCGCAATCTGCATCGTGTTTTGTCTCTTGCCTGCGTGCATGTCGCCTTCTGGGGCGTCTGTGGCCTGGCGCTTTTGGTTCATGGTGGGATATGCTGTAGCGTGCGCGGATGGCGATGAGCCTGGCCGTGTCGGTGAGGGTGGCAGCTTCATTTGTACATGCGAAGGGCTCTGTCTGGGTGGTGATTTCTGGTAGCGAGCGACGTCGTCCGTGGGTAGCATGCGCGGCTGAGTCTGCCTAGAAGCGAGTAAAGCGTTGTTCTGTTGATGATGTCGAATTCCGCTAGCGTTCGGTGCTTGCATCGAGCGTGGCACAATAGAAATAGGTGAGACGGCGCCCAGCGTCGCTGTATCTTCGTTTCGCGTAGGTGAGGATGCATTCGTGGATGCTCGCACTGCTGTCGTGCTCAGAGGCGAAGCGGTAGTCACTGAGGTGGCCATCGTTGAGGGTGCAGCCAGTGGGCTTGAGGTACACGACCTTGCTCCGTTCAGGCTGTTGACAGAAGGGCTCCGGGCCGCATTCTGACCTTGGTGTTGACTGTTCTCGCGCGGTACTTGCTGCTGCTGTCCTTGTTGCTGTCTAGCACGCTGTATTTGGCGGAACCATTGCTGTTGGTCTGGTGACGCCTTGTTGAACCACTGTTGTCGCTGGTCAGGGTTCATCTTGCTGAGCCACTGCACTCGCAACTGCTGATCAGAGAGCCTGCTCATCTTGTCTGCGGTAGCGACGATTGAAAATATGCAGGTGGGAACGTTGATGATATGGGGAAGTTATAATCGGTAGTTGAGAAAGAAAAGCCGTGGAGGATACGAAGCAGAGACCGGGGCGACAGACAGCTGACCTAAGCTATTGTCTTCGGCTCGCAAAAAAAGAGGTTGGTGAGAGGCGCCTTCACCTTTTGTATTTTGCTATTGTGATAGCCACGGTCCGCGTCGCTCAATAGGGTCGCAACGTTCCAAGGTTGAGCTGCCCTCCTCCCGCACCACTATCGGCTTCTTCAAGTACAGAGATGTCGCTCAATAATGAACAATAGTCAAGGCCGGTCAAATAGAAAATTGAATCCTACTTCTGATAATGGTAGCAGATCTCGAAGTCGTTGCGTTCACCTTCACTTGCCAACCACCTCCTATGACGACACGAGCCTCTTTGGACAATGGCAGCTATTATGTTTACCAAATTTGAAGTCTTCAAGTGGCTAGATATTCCTAAAAAACAAGGGCGAGGAGCTAGGTACCTGGGTCGCGAGCAAGGTCTCGAGAGTGCTTCCGTGGCGTATCATCTTTCTTGCAAACGTGTAAGTGTCATGAAGGGATCAGGGAGTATATAGCAAAACGGCCAGATAGGATGGTCGGCGGCGACGCTACCTACGCGACTCTGTTGACTTGAAGTTTGCAGTTTGGAATGAAGCTCGCTTTACCCAGAGGTAAAACACACACACACAAAGGAGGCAATTGGAAAATTGATCAATGGACAGGAGCAATCCGGCATCTCACAACTTGATGTCCTTCTTCTGGTCTCTGACCTCTTGCGCCATCCTGACCATCGCATACAAACTTTGCAGGCGCGGCATCTCATAGCCCCTGTCCCGCGCAATCCTCAATGGATTACCAAGAATGACCTCAATCTCCATCTTCTTGCCCGCTTCCCAGTCTATGGCCATGCTCGGCTTACTACCGCTTGTGTTCTTTTGTGTAGACCGGATGATCTGATCGGGAGTCGCGAACTCCTTGGGCATGGGCTCGCCAAGGATCTTGGGTGCGGTTTCGAGGATCTCGGTCATGACGCCTTTGAGATGGCGCTGTAGTTCTGGGTCGAGAGACATGACGTTGTTCGGGAGGCAAAGGGTGAGGACCGAGGTTGGGTTCATGGAGGCGTTGATGGCGATCTTGTGCCAGCGGACGAGTTGCAGTTTGGCATGGCTGTAGGCTTCGGCGTCGTTGATGCCTCCTTGCCTCAGCATCTCGATGAACGCGTCATTCATCAAGATGACGCGTACGTCGCTGTCTTTTCTGCTGCCGGTGTCTAGATGGGGCAGGTACGGTCCGCTGTTTATCCGCGTCCATCTGTTGTGCTTAATCTGGCCGTGCTCGGGTTGCGCGCAGGTTGCTATCGTGACCGCCGAACATATGGCAGCTTGTGGGAATCGCTTCGTATACGGTTCTTCTACACCCAGTCCATTCTGTATCAGCACAATGGCTGTCTTATCGCTGACAAGCCCCTCAAGTATCGTCGAGTCATCGCTCACGTCGGGTAACGCTTTCGTGCTGACTACGATGAAGTCCCACTGTATGCCGCTCGCTCTTGCTTCGTCTGGGTTCGCAAAGGTGTTAGCCGGTACGAAGGTATAATCGCCGTATTGCGGTGAGGTAACTTGGAAGCCGTTCGCTTTCACGGCTTTGTAGTTGGAGCGGCAGATGACCGAGACGGAGGTACCGGAGACAAGGGCAAGACGAGAGGCATAGAAGGCTCCAATGGCACCGGCACCAACGATGAGGACGCTTGCAGACATTGCGAGGATGATGAGTTGAGGGAGAGATGACGATGTCGACCCTGAAGCTTCGCAATCGTGCCTTATCGATAAGCAGCGCTCTTGCCGAGGTTGCGATCCGCGTCCACGCTTCTTGTCCACCAACACCATCACTGACATCCGTCCGGGAAGTCACACATTTGTAAGAATATTTGTAAACCCCTCTATCAACTCTAGGAATCTGTTTAACCAACGAGTCTACACCCCTGATTAGGTCTAAATAAGCCCTTGAAGACAGATTCTACGATCTAAGCCATGGCTGTACATCGAAACACGCCATCTTGACGCGTCTCTAGCCATCTACAACTTCGCCCACACAATATGCCGTCTCACAACATTCTTCTCATAGTCGAATCGCTTCACGACTACCGCCTCGTCAACGCGACCCTTGTCGTTCGACTCATCCCCAATAGCGGCCCTCGCAGCTCCAGCCCTATCGTCGATCGTGAAAAGGAGACAGACGGCAACCATGTGTGGATCATCTCCTTTGAAGATGTTGATTTTCGACACATATTTTCCGCCGAGCTGGGCTTTGTGCTGCGCCAGGAAGTACCCAACTGCTTGCCCGTTTGGTGATCCTACATTCACAGTCGAAGTCAATAATCCAATCCCAGAACGTCGAACCGAGATACGACTTACCGAGCAAAGCGAGGTATTCCGGCTCATCTGACCCAAACTCGCAGCCCGACCAGGTCATCAGCTCATTCAAATCGAGGCAGTTGTCTTCCAAGATCTTCTTGATTATCGCGACCGTCTCGTCGTTTATAACAGGCGTACTAAGGATGTACTTGATGCCGTGCAGGTTGTTCGGACTCGCCAGATTCCACAGTCCCCACATGATATCAGAGCTCGATTTCAGTGCGGGAAGCTCATCGTTCGGCGGAGGGTTGGAGAGGCCCCAGAGGGCTTGCGCGCTCGTGGCGGGGCTCTGACGATTGGTCATTGCAATGAGACCCGATGCTGGGTTTACGCCGATTACGAACTCGGCGTTGGTGACCTGCGAAGAGATGATGTCGTCAGTAAGACGTGCATGGACCGTTGTCTTCTTTTACCTACACGATAGTATTGGTCGTTGGCTTTATACCACTGCTGCTTGACGGGTGGTAGATCTCCCTGATTATCGCGCCGTACTGCCGGACCGTCCTTATGGTTAACAAAGTAACACCGATTAGGTCCACCCTGGTAGGTACTACGCGTATCGATCCTGAGGTCATCGAACATGCTCTTGAGCTTGTGGCTGTGCTCGAACTCGCACTCATTCTCATGACTTGCGCGGAATTGGGGGGTGCCATCGTCACTCTCGATTTTGTAGCCCCAAGTTTCAAGCTCCTGTTGGATGGGGTTGGTCCAGGGGCTGTCGATCGGGTTGACAAAGGCGGCTGCTGCGTCGTGCGGAGAGGTTGTTGCTGACAGTAGCTTTTGGCCTTTGCATGTGGCTTTGTGGTATATGACTTCTATATCGTCGACGCGAGCGAAGAGGCTGCGGGAGGGGCGGGAAGGAATATCGGGTCCTAGGGGAGGCGAAGTATCTACAGTCAGACCCTTCACGACAGCTACACACGCCGTGAGACAGACGATCGCCAGGGCCCGCATACTTGATGTTCGGTTTACCCGTAAGTGTAGCAAGTGAAGCAGTCAAGAGAAATCTGACCTCCGGTCTAAGTAACTGCACGGCTCGAGCGTTACCCACATGTTCGTCCTTCGCTAGGCAACTATTCCACAACCCAGCCCCACTCAGCCTTGACTTGGGGGGGAATTTCCTATGAAGAGTTCAACACGGTCTGGAAGCGCAGTGAGAACGTTGTACGTAGTTATCATGTCGTCCTCGCGTATACCAAGATGTGGTCAATCGCATGGTGCTAACGACATGTCCAGATGTTGATGGAACAGGTGAACAAACAATATCTATAGGTAGCATGAGCGTATGAGTGATAAGTACTATCAACGCTTAACCCTTTTCCGAGATGGGTAATACCAGACTGCAACTCGCAATCAAACCACATCCAAGGTGCAGTACGCTCTGGGGAGCTAGCGCCTTCTGCGCTGCCAGGGGCCGATTGGACGGAGGTTACACCGAGTAGCAGACTATGCAATGCTGATATCGTCTTTATTGTATTCCGCGGCACTCTAACGTTTCCTGGATCTCAAGGTCGGAGATGTTTTGGGAAGGGACCACCAGCCAGATTTGGACTAGTGCCCCGAATGTCGTGACGCGAACTTCGAACGTCAAACCTCCTCACATCAACACTCCCACCCGACGGCGACCATTACCAGCTACTTTACGCGCGCTCGTGGTATCTCCATACCCTCGCAATCGAACCTGGAACGTTTGCGACTGCATGCTGGCTGGTCTCGTACAACGCGCACGTTGATTATAGGCCGGAGCGCACCTGCCCAGGTGGGCAGTCCAATGCCCGCCACACGAGGCTCGTCGGATTTGGCAATTATTGTACCATACGTGAAGACAAGCATATATGCTGGCAGATCACAAAAAGAGATGTCTCGCAGTAAATGGGTGGCAACGCGCTTCCTAGTCGGTGGTGTCCACCATCCTGCCGTGCAGGTCATTGTGCGCATAGGTAGTGCTGTCTAAGATGTCTTCTCTCCTCTTTCGTAATCTCTCTCACCTCCATCTGGATTTCTTACTCGTCTCACCGCTCAATACACCGACCGCGGACGCTTTCAGGCCATTGA